GTATTTCAATTACGGTTGGCATTCAAATATTTCAAATTCACATCCAAACAAGCAAATGCAAAGCTGCAAAATCACTTCATAAATGAAGACCCCTTCATAATAGAATACCAAGAAAGTAGTTTCATCTCAAAAGCAATAACGAGGCCATAAGTAGCAATTCACAATGGGATATTAAGAAATACACACCGTTGCCTCAGATGAGGCTCTAGGCAATGTTAATAACTCCTCAGAGAGCTCAAGCAGTTGTTCTGAGGTAAATTCTTTCTCGGTTGATATTACCATTTTCTGCAACCTCGGAGTATTTTTCAGCAGAAATTTCACAATCTGGATGAAATGCGGGTCGCCTATATGGCAGCTATGTATCGTAATGTTCTCGAGGCAGGGTAAGGTTGCCTCCTCTGAGTTCAAGTACCCCTCTCCATCAAAATCATATTCCCAAATCCATTGTGCATCCGCAGTCTAGCAGCACAAAGTTGAATGATCATAGTACCCCAATTCAGGGAAAGACGGACGATGAAAATGATATTTCAAAATATGGGGAGAAAATTGAACCTGAAAGAAATAGTCAATTTTCCCATGGGCAAGCATGGTAAGTTCCACGAGAGAAGAAGAAGAATGTTTCAAGAGGAGAGAAAGCCCGGGAAGGTGCCATTTTGTGAGATGAAGTTCAACTTTGATATGCTTCCACTGGAAATGTCGGCAAAAGACATTCTTCAACTTCCATATTGACAACACCTGCTCATAAGTGTAAAAACAAATTATTTTCATGTTGTCCCAGCATGTAGCATATGTTATCTCGTGAAATTTACAAGATCGGCATTAGTTATGATACAAGGCCTACATAAATTGTCACAAACGTTTCTTTTTGCTCTTTTCATTAACTTATCACCTTTTGTGTTCTTGCGGCTACCACATAGAAATAGATTCCTCATTTAAAGAAATTACGCAAAACTACAGCATATAAACTGTTTTTAGTTGTTTAGGCATCAGAGTTCACTTCATGCTCATAATCAGATTAACACTCCAAATTTTACATCTTGAAAGTACTCTTTCAACAATTCGTTATTCATAAAGAATGAATAAATAAATCCAAAAGCCTTTGATTTCATCTCTCATGCAATAAAGAAGTCAGATGTTCAAATAAATTGAAGCACGTGAAGGCACAAAGGTTACCAAAACACTCCAAGTGCATATGCTTAAAGTCCTGCACTGGCTAACCATGTAAAGTAGGGCCCGCACTAGAAAATAATGCATGTCCTTGCATCTAAACAAGTAGCTATAGTGGAAGGAAGTTTCGACCAAAGATGAGACATGATGCAAAAACACACCATCGATCCATCCAGATATTTCTATTGACACTACGTGAGGACACTCCACGAACACAATCCGGCTATTCACGTCCACACAAAGCATCAGCTTCTTCAAGTTTGGGTTTTTGGAATTCAACTGGCGAAAGCCATGACAATCAACCACAGACAGATCCTGAAGAAACGGACAACCATTCAAGATTCTTTCTATGGCTTCATCACTCAATACAACCCTATGTAGAAACAAGACTCTCAATGCCGACAGATTTATTTGCTCACAAGATCTAATGTCACAAGCGGCCAACCGCAAATTCGTCAAGTATCCAGTACTTAAAACATCTGGTAACTCATAATATTGTTCAATAAACTCACAGCCCTTAAGATCGAGATCCAAAACCTTGACTTTTCTGCTCACGGCGTAACTGATTAATTTCCCCACTTGATATAAGGCAGCCCTCTCTTTATCCACCTTCCGTCTTTCAAAATCTCTAACGTTGGGATTATTAAGATCGGACTCCGTCCAATGTGCATAAGATTGCAGAAGGGCAAACCTGAGGTGCAATTTATCCAGCGTGTTCTCATCGTGATGATTCCAAACCTGATGAACTACATGCATGAAGTTTTCATAGTCACAAATCTCAACATCAGCATCTTCATCATACTCATGGTCATCATACTCATGGTACACACAGTGGTCCAAATCAAGAACCGGCAAGCTAAGCCACAGTTTACCGAATCTTGGAAGAACAACAGTCCTAATGGCATCACGTAGCGGAAGAAAGGAAAGAATGTGAACCAAAATCGGGTCTGGCAAGTCGCTAAAAAGGTCGTGGTTTTCTTCATGGGATTTTTTTACCCTTTTCGTATGCGAAAATATCTCTTCCTCCTC